TATATATAGCCTATATGTTTAATAGTTTTTGTTGGGTCTTTTTGCTTAATGTCTCTGTGAGCTTAACAGCACTTGTAACAAAATAAGGTCATATAAGTGTCGAAATTTAGAGGTGTAACAAGAGAATAACTAAAACAACAACAAAAATGACGGAGAGTAAGATCGAGATATAGATCTATGTTTAATAGGAAAGAAGGAGGAAAAAACCACGCCAGGTACCCACCCTGGATGAGCAAACAAACATAGCTGAGATGGAAGGGGGTTGTAGTCATACGATGTTGTCATTCTCCCAGCCCTGTCCCTTACCCATTTTGGTGAGTTCAGAGACCAAGGTTGATGCATAATTTAGCCACTGAATAAAAAAATTGTTTTACGAACTTTAGTTTTGGCAAGCTCTGTTTCAAAAGAAAGGAAAAAATATCGGAGGTGAAAGCGCTGATTTAATAATAACGATATTATAGTCGTGTATCCCGCTAAATTTAGTTCTTATACTATTGTACATCTCTTGTGCCAGGCGAGGTGGCATACACCCAACGCGCAGTGAGTTAAGTGGGAAATCGTTAGGCACGGAAACAGATCGGCTGTGGAGCGGCACCGGGACGAAAATGTGCGGTATCGCAAGTGGCAAGTTCAATGTTTGAATCCATAGACACGGTGCGGTATGGCAAGTGGCAAGTTCAATGTTTGAATCCATAGACACGGTGCGGCACGGCAAGTTTGCGCCTTTTTTGTTTTGTATCAATGCAAAAGAAGAAAGCGCCCACAATGCTACGTGGCATTTTCGCGGGGATGTTTAGGCACCACGCCCACATTTTTCTCTGCGGCCAGCACCTCTGCGACAGCGGCAGAATCGCTTCTGTGTCCGATTAATAAAGTGCCGTAGCGGTACCGTAGAACTGCCGGTGCCGTCCCACTGTCGTTCCGCACTAACAGATTCAGACAATGACATCTTTGTTTGAGCGATCTGTACCGTCCTGGCACCGTTCTGCTGTCGTTCAATTTTCCGTGAATATAGATGTCAGCCTTCAAGCGTATATCACAGTCAATAACAACTCCTTGGTTAATATCCGCCTCAAGTAAGACATTTAATAATAAGAAGAGATAGCATTTGTATACCACAATTCCCCGCTCAACAGTAAGCTCTATGCGCTTCACAATCTATACTACCAGCAGACCTGAGAGCATTCGGAAACAACCTCAGATTCCTGGGAAGCATACAACGCAAGCAGCCATTAATAGGTGCCAAAACACTTATATACTGACAAGATCTTTCACTGTCTATGGCCAGGTACCCATTCCTACCTGGATGAAGTGAGGAAAATTCCTATAAAGTGCCTTTCCCAAAAAACAACGTCGGGTCGGCGCTCGAACCCCTGAAATATTTCTTTGCCTACTATTTTTTTCATTTACCATTCACTCCATTCACTACAGATTAAACATTTATTAACATTTGTTTAATTCTTTTTTAATACAGGCAATCACACAGGTAAATACTACAGATCCAGGGTGTGACGAAGTTTGCTTAGGAAATCGATTACAGAGGTGCGGGTCAAGCGACAGATTCCGATTGCACTCCATGGGTGAGTGTGTCATAACTGTCACAATCCAAGGAAAATGTGCAGTTTGTACTTTTCTACCAAATAGAATTCAATCTTTTGGTGCTGATGTGGGTATTTTTTGTTACTGTTGTTGTGGTTGTTGTAATTGTTTTTTGTTCTTGTTTGTTGTGCTGCTGCTGTTGTTGTTGTTGTTGTTGTTGTTGTTGTTGTTGTTGTTGTTGTTGTTGTTGTTGTTGTTGTTGTTGTCGTCGTCATAGCTTGTCCCATCACCTTCAGTATGATGCCAGAGCCACAGCAGATATCGGAGATCATGGTTTGTCATTCATTTCGTTGCTTGAATACTAAAAAAAAAAAA